GGGATCTCATTAGCCCTCTCCTTCCCCTTTGCAGAAAATCCCCCCCAACATGGTCAACCCGGAGGAGCTGGACATCCCGGGACGGGCCTTCAAGGACAGATACAAAACCATCCTGCCGAGTACGTGCCGCCCCCTCCCTCTGGGCGCAGGCGTAAGCTGGGCCCAGGGCGTCCTGGGGCAGGAGGGGAGCCCCCCGGGGTTCAGTCCCGCCCCGCTTCTCCTGACGCCCAGCGAGTGATGCTTGGGCTCTGGGGCTACATGAAGGTCCCGCGATGGATTTCACGCCTGAGCTTGTCTCTTGGGGCGGGGGGAGGCTGGGCAGAGGTCGGCTCCAGGCAGCCCCACCGCGCCCAGGCTAATCTCCGGTCTGTCTCCTAGATCCCCACAGCCGCGTCTGCCTCCGGAGAGCCGGCAGCCAGAATGAAGGCTACATCAACGCCAACTACATCCGGGTGAGCCCCGCCGCGTACCCACAGCCTGGCTGGGAACCCTGCCTGAGCCGCGAGGGGCACAGGGCCTGGTGGCCCTTCCGACGTGCCCTGAGCCCGGGAGGATCCGCAGGCCACGTGCCAGCAGGGCCGTGCACCAAGCTCACCCGGCAGCAGACTTGGGGTACAGCCCCAGCCCCTGCACTGCCGCGGGATCAGAAAAAGCCACCAGGCTCCAGCTCTCTCACCATCGAGGGTCAGCAGCTCCACCTCCTGGGAGCTTTGCAAAGAGGGCCCCCAAGCCCTGCCCCTTCCCTCTGCATGCCAGCCTGCAGCAGTGAGCCAGGAGCTTAGACGGCCTGCGTGCTGGCTTCGGAGAATCCCTTTCTAGCACTCCCTGGCACAAGACTGAGACTCCCCTCGGGTGGCAGACACCGAGGAGTTAAGGCATCAGAGGGCACCTTTGTGAAGCTAACCGTATTCTTGCTCTGTGCCTCAGTTTCCCCATTGGCCAAATGGAGGTTATGCTACTGACCCCCTTTGTAAAGTGCTTTGAGATTTATTGATGAGAAGCGCTAGATACGCACTGTGCTTTATTATTAACGCTGGAATCCCAGCCCTTTGGAGGTGGGGTGGACTGTGCCCTCTGGAATGAGGTGGGGACTCTCCATGAGTGTGCAGGAGGACTCAGAGAAGTGTGTGTCAAGGAGGGATTCTTTAGTTCCACCACTTTGATGAGCCCAGCTAGGCATTGACTGATGTGCTCGTTGGCATGAGTGACATGAGCGGATGGCTCTCCACCCACTTCCCCTGTATCCGGTCCCCAGAACTACCAGCTTAGCCAGCGCCAGTTGGTGTCAGCGGTGGGATCCAGGAAGCAAGGAGGTGGCGTTTGCTAGCTGGGAGCAAGGCTGTCTGTAGAACCCTGCTCCCAAAGGGAGGCTCAGCAGGCACAGTGCATCGCTGTACCGCGGGAAACGAAAACTGGGAAAGAACTTTACAGGAGGAAACTCCAATGCAGAAACACCCTGTGTGCAGCACAGTTCACCAGAGATATGCAAATGAGGCTAAGCGAGGAATATTGCTGAGCCTCATTTGCATACCTAATGAGCCGCCATTTTTGCAGAAGAGGCTCTTGCACCAGAAGAAAACCCCTCTTGCGCAATGCCGTTATTCCTGAAAATAATTAGCATAGCGGCGTTGCGCAAGAGGGTTTTTCTTGCGCAAGAAGGGACAGTGTAGACAGCTCCTTCTGGCGCAAGAGCCACTTCCGCAAAAATGGCGGCTCATTAGGTATGCAAATGAGGCTCAGCAATATTCCTCGCTTAGCCTCATTTGCATATCTCTGGTGCAAGACTCGCCTGTGTAGACATAGCCTTCCAGTGGCCTCTGGTGGCCAGAGGAGGTATTATACCCACCACTCAGCATTTACAGAGCTGTGATGCATTTTCCCTAGGAGCCAAAATTTGAAAGCATCAGACAGGGACTTGTGGGTGGGACAAAGATTCAGTGAGTGATCCCCACCAGAGCACTCTAGTACCAGTTACCTTGGGGAGCCGAGAGTAGGGGAAAGGTTTTAACCCCAAATTAACAGCTGTCTGCACAAGATGATTCAGTAGCAGGATTCCTCTTCCCAGAGCATCACAAATATAAATCCTCATCGCTCGTGTGGGCCAGATGGGTAAACTGAGGCATGGAGCAGTTAGGTGACTTGTCCAAGGGTCATAGGCTACAGCAGTGCCAGAGTCGTGCTTAGTTTAATGGGACTCCTGAGTTTCTGGTGAGGTTAGAGCTGTCTGAACGCAAGGAGCAGGCTGTCAGGCCCGAGGAGGCATGTGCAGGGGTAGTCCAACAGGCTGAATCCCAGCTGAGGGATATCTGCCTTTATGTCAGGCCCTGGCCCAGTGCACCACTGCATGGCCATGTGAAAAAGAATCACGACACAGGTATATCACAAGCATGCCTCAGGTGTGAGGTCACCGCCCTGCACACGCACGGACATGCATGCACACACACGTGCCCACACACATACTGCCTTTCTGCATACCTCCCCACTGCACACTGACACTTATTTTCATATCCGGACTCTGCCTACACACACTGCCCTTGTGCGCGTACACACACGCATGCACACACACGGCACACCTTGTGCCTCACATATACACGTCTCGGATTTCTGTGCTTCACAAAACCCTCTGCACGTCCTTTCAGCTTCTGCTAATACATACAAATAGCTGTAACTCAGCAGGGAACGCTGAATCTTTAGCAGGGCATGATCTATTTTAACGATTTCTCCAACACATTCGATGACACATCCACCCCCCCACATGGGCGCGGACCTAGCTCCAGACAAGATTGCACTGTGAGAACGCTGCCTGCAGCAAGTAGCCGGTGGGGATAAGAGCTCGCCGTAGCCAGACCCCCTGGGACCTTTGTTGTGTGTCTCCTGGGACTGGCAAATCTCTCACCCCTAGGGTATGTCTACACTAGTTCGAACTAGGGGGCTAGTATAGACATACCCCTAAAGAACAAATTTTCTGCACTTCCCTGGCAGAACAGCGCCCTGCAGCTCAGCCCTGTCGGGGATCAGGAAGGGCAAATCTTTGCAGAGAACCCCTCACCCTAAGGGGCGGAGACATCCCAAATATGTCCCTCTCTTGGCCCATGGTAGGTGGCTGGGCTCATATGAGGGTCTCCTCAAGGCTTATTAGTGCCTTGGACTTTGCATGCTTCAGGCAGACCCCACTGGCACTGCCCGCTGTTGTTATATTCCACGGACTTACGATTTTTTTCCGGAGATTCCTGGGAGTGGTCCCTGCCCGGGCGGCTTCTCACCCCACCCTCTCCTCTCTGTCCCCTCGCAGGGCTACGCGGGGCGGGCGCAAGAGTACATCGCCACGCAGGGGCCCATGCTGAACACGGTGGCGGATTTCTGGCAGATGGTGTGGCAGGAGGGCGCGCCGCTCATCGTCATGATCACCAAGCTCAAGGAAGGCAAAGAGGTAGGGCCTGCTGGGTGCCATTTAACCGCAGCCCAGAGCTAGAGCTGACTTCTCCCGGGGGGCCCGTATGCAGAATGGGGATGAACCAGAGTGCTGTGAAATTGGCACGTGGGGCCGGAGGGTCCTCTCATGTACCCCAGCTGTACGGCGGGAGAGCCCCCTTGGTCCCAGCGGGGTCAGGCCTGCGTGTGTGCAGAGGATCAGACCCAGTGGAATTATTTCTGGTTTACACTGGGGTGAGTGTGTGTGTGGGGAGGGGTGTGTTTTGGGTCCAGTGGGGTTACTGCTGATTTACATCGGGGCGAGGGAGGTGGGATCAGGCCCTGTAATGTACACTTGCTGCCTGCCCCTCCCCTATGACCCTGGTCACACGGAACTTATCACAACCCCCCCACACTTGTAACAGCGACAGGCAGAATCAAACCTGGGACCTCTGGAGCTTAGTGCAGGAGCCTCTAGGTAAAGGCCGGCTGGCGCTCAGCTAAGGCTGTATAGCAGACTCATTGCTCTCGCTGTAAGTGGTCTTGGTGCCAACTCAATGGGATAGTGCCCCGCACCCAGAAGGTGTGTGGGTTACACTAGTACTGCCCCCGCAGCTCCTATTGGCTGTGATTCCTGGCCAATGGGAGCCAGAGGGGTGGAGCCTCCAGGCGAGGGCAGCGCGGGGGCGGAGCTTCCCCCAGCACTTGCCGCAATGTGGCTCCAGGCTGAGGGGGGAGCAGGGGAGGAACAGCAGCGCATGGAGCTGCCTCCCCACCAGGAAGGGCTGGCCAGGAGCACAGGGTCCCTGTGCTGATCCAGCCCCAGCGCCTGGGCCCTGTGCTGGCAGACCCAGCCACCCAGCTTCTGCCCTGCCCCACTGCTGCTGTCCCTGCCACCTCCCCTTGGGCAGGAGGTGGCTGCCTGAACACCCCACGGCTTGTCCCATACCCGCAGCAGCCCTGCAGAGCTCCCAGCCAGCCCCAACCCCCGAGCCCGGGGACCCCACGGAAGATCCCCGATCGGGACGCGCTCCGCCCCAGGGAGCCACTGCGCCAGTCGGGATCAGACCCTGAGAGGGGCCCTTGGCTGCTCCCTCCCCGTGACTCCTCGCCTTCCGCTTCCAGAAGTGCGTTCATTACTGGCCCGAAAAGGAAGCCACCTACGGGCCATTCACCATCTGCCTCCGGGGGGTGAGCGAGTGTGCGGAGTACACCGTCCGGGATCTCAGAGGGTGGGGGATGGGGAGTGCGTGGTGGGCGCTGGGGGGGAGTTGAGCAGCACGCGGCAGTGACCTGTGTAAGGTGTAAGCGGGGGAAGAAGCCTTCCCCAGAGGAGTGGGGCGAGGTTCGATCTCTGCAGAAGGGAGGGGGCTCTTCTTTCACAGCAGGGCTCCCCTTTGCCCTTAATTCCCTCCCTAGCACCAGCCCTCTCCCGGCAAGAGGGCAGAGTTAAGGGGAGCCCTGCGCCTGCCCTCCTCCCAGGCCCAGTGACGCTGGTGCAGCTGGGGCTGGCTACGATGGAGCCCCTGGATGGGCTAGGATCTGCCCCCCTTGGCCAGGCCATGTCCCTAGGTTCTTGTTTCTCTCTCGCAGATGGAAGGTGAGTGTCGCCCGGTGAAGCACGTCTCCTTCCCCTCCTGGCCCGACCAGCAGGCCCCCGAGTCGGCCAAGCCCCTGCTGCACTTGGTGTTGGAGGTGGAGCGGATCCTGCAGGCGGCAGGCAGCATGGGGCCTGTGGTCGTTCACTGCAGGTGAGAGGTTCCCCCGTGGCCCTGGGTGGCAGGGGAGTCAGTCCCTGCTGGAACCAACGGTGGGGAGCTTTGGAACCCGGCCTCTTTCCCCTTCCTCTCCCCGCCGCTCCTGTGGGTGCAAAAGTAGCTTGGGAGTCTCCTCTGGTCCCTTGCGTCTTAGATGCGGCCGGACGGCTTCCCGGCAGCACTCAGGGAGCCCAGGCCCGTGCCATGGGCCGAGTGCCACGTGCACATTTCTGGGGATGGGCTAGCTGGTGTCTTCCCCACGGCCCCTCCTGCAGAGCTTCCATGTGGCTCACTCACTCGCTTGCCACCTTAGCGCCGAGTGGGCGAGTGGAAGGGAGAACGAGGTCACCCCAGAAGAGAGACAGAGGGGACGGGACAGGCTTCCACCCCTTCCAGGAGTCACCATGGACTCCTCAGCCATGGCCCCTGCAGGCCCCACGGCCAGTTCATTGTGAGACCCAGGTCAGAGTCTGGGCTCTGCTACTGACTCCCTGTGTGCCCTTGGCACAGTCACTTTGGCTCAGCGCCTAACTTCCACTGACATGGCTGGCCATCTGGGCCTGCGCCTCCCTGTGTCTCACTTCCCCCTCTGTGCAATGTGGATCCCAGCCGCTCTGCTCCTGGGGGGGCTGAGATTGCAAGGGGCTCAAATACAGCAGCGGGGGTGGGGCCATCGAGCAAAGTGAGACAGGCGGGGGCGAGGGGCCCCGTGGGCCTGTGAACAAAAGCCAGGAGCATTCAGGACCAGCCTCAGGCACCTAATCAGCCCACAGGCGGGAGCTGGAGACGAACAGGTTCGCGTCCCGTGCCCCAAGCTATCCCTGCACTCAGTCCCATCTGCCTTCTGTCTCCCGTCCAGCGCGGGGATTGGCCGCACAGGCTGCTTCATTGCCACCAGGATTGGATGCCAACAGCTGAGGGCCAAAGGAGAGGTGGATATCCTGGGGATTGTGTGCCAGCTCCGTCTCGACAGGTACGTCCAGGGGCCCGGGCCAGCTGGCAGGCAGCGCTCCGGGGCCCCATCCTGCACGGTTCAATTGTCTCTGCATCGGCCGCCTGCTGGCCAGGAAGGAAGCAGCCTGTTTGAAAGCAGAGCGACCCATTGCAGGCGGCATCTCCCCCGGCCCTGCAGGAGACGAGCCCTGCCTCCTCACAGGGAACCCATGGTCCCTCTGGCTTTCCGCTGCGGTAGCCAGCCCCCGCAGTGTCGCTGGGACCCCCGGTGGGCCAGGCTTCCCAAAGAGCCTTTAGGCACCGCACTACGTGGCCAGGTTTGCAGAACAGCCCCCAAGCATATAGGAAACCGGTATAACACATGCAATCAGTGGACCACTGGGGCTCTGCATAAATTTTTACTCATGTGAAGGGCTCTGGAGCCCAAAAAGTTTGAGAGCCACTACTCTAATGGATCTGCCTTGCCTCAAGTTGTAATTGCCGCTACAGGCTGGGGACCGACTGGCTAAGCAGCAGTTCAGCAGAAAAGGGCCCAGGGATTCCAGTGGATGAGAGGCTGAAGATAAGTCAACAGTGTGCCCTTGTAGCCAAGAAGGCTAATGGCATATAAAGTTGCATTAGGAGGAGCATTGCCAGCAGATCCAGAGATGTGATTATTCCCCTTTATTTAGCACTGGTGAGGCCACATCTGGAGTATTGTGTCCAGTTCTGGGCCCCCCACTATAGAAAGGATGTGGACACATTGGAGAGGGTCCAGCGGAGGGCAACCAAAATGATTAGGGGGCTGGAGCACATGACCTATGAGGAGAGGCCGAGGGATTTGGGTTTGTTTAGTCTGCAGAAGTGAAGAGTGAGGGGGGATTTGAGAGCAGCCTTCAACTTCCTGAAGGGGGGTTCCAAAGAGGCTGGAGAGAGGCTGGTCTCAGTGAGGGCAGGTGGCAGAACAAGGAGCAATGGGCTCAAGTTGCAGTGGGGGAGGTCTAGGTTGGATATTAGGAAAAACTATTTCCCTAGGCGGGTGGGGAAGCGCTGGGCTGGGTTCCCTAGGGAGGTGGTGGAATCTCCACCCCTAGAGGTGTTTAAGTCTCAGTTTGACACAGCCCTGGCTGGGATGATGGAGTTGGGTTGGTCCTGCCTTGGGCAGGGGGCTGGATTCAATGACTCCTGCGGTCTCTTCCAGCCCGGGGATTCTATGGTTCGAATCCTCCTCAAAGCCCAGGGAATTGTCTCCAAAGCCCAACCCCCAACGCGTCAGCAGCTCCTTGGCGTGTCCCCACACCCACCCCGGCGTTCCGCGCCTGGCAGGCTCTGGAGTGGAGACAGCTCAGTGCAGCCCATGTCACCAAGCCAGACCATACAATATTTTGGCTCCCACAATTCAGGGCCTCTTGACTTTATGGGCTTCGAGATGCAAAGCTGGAGTCAAGACACCCACACGCACCTGGAAAAGGATCCCCAGGACAATCTAGGACAATCCCTGTCACCAGCCCCTCAGGGCTAGTCCATTAGGAGGGCCTTGTGTCCCTTGCTGGCTTTCCCAGGACACATTGCACCCCGGGGTGGCAGAGGCTCCGTCTGTTCTAGTCCCCATTATTGGAATGAATTTTGCTTGGATTCTGCTTCCTCCACCCTCTCACCCCCGTGCTGGAAGGTACGATCATAACAGTCCAGTTCTGTGTGTCCAGGGCTTGAGACAGGGAACTGATTTTCCATAGGTCCAAAGCATCATTTCCTTGTTCCCGTGAGGAGCCGAGAAACCTAGCACCAAGTCCGATCCAGTTCCCGCAGTGCAAGTCCTGACTTCAGTGGCGTCACTCCACATTGGTACCCCTGGAAACGCAGTTCAGGCTCCCAGCTCCCAAGCGCTGCTTAGGGCATGGTGGGTCAGCGAGGCTGCGTCTCGCTGAAGTTATTTGGGAGCAGCAGCCAGGGCCGGGTGCCCCTGCGGCCGAGAGTTCACAGAACGACGGGATCAGCTGACTGCAGTTTAGTTAGGCCTGGCAGCTGAGTGTCTTTTCTCCCTACAGAGGTGGAATGATTCAGACCAGCGAGCAGTACCAGTTCCTCCATCGCACGCTGGCTGCGTACGCCTCGCAGTTCCCCGAGACGACGGATCCCTAGGGCGGGCCTTCTGCTGGGCTCCGACTTTCCTGTGGCCGTCTGGCATCTCCAGCGTCTGAGCCAACCACGAGCTCCCAGGAGCGGGCTCCCGTCAGCCCTGGCTCCCTTCTGCTTGCATCATGGCAGCAGAAGAGGAACGTCGGCCCCTTGAATGAAAATGGCCGTGGCAAACCTGCCCTGAACCTCCCGGCATCTTGTCTGCGGGGTAATTAACCAAAGCTGCTTCGATGGGTCCCCACCAACCGTGTTGGTAGGGCAGGTCGGTTTGTGGGCAGGCTTGGACAACGGAGACGGCTTCCGGTGTGTTTTCCTTGGGGCCCTTTGCTAGGAGCATAAGGCCAGAGTCACTGACGGAAAGGGGCTTTTGCTTTCTACACCCCTAGCATTTTAGCCCCAACTCTACCAGCAAACTGTGCGAAAGAACTGGATGTGTGCGGGGCGCTGGAGCACGGCTGGCATTGCGACCGCACGGAGAGTTCAGTCGAGTGAGGACTGGTAACATTGCATGGCCAATAAACAGCACCCCGGACCCCTGGGGTCTGTTTGGGAGGAAGCGTTGATTCACGGGAACGGCTTCGCTCCAGGGGGCGGCCCGGGGACTTGCTGTGAACAAACTGGAGTGCAAGAGGCTTTGCTATTTACTGCCCCGGTGTGTGCAGGGTCGCCGGAGGGACTTCTACAGAGGGGGGAGCGGCTCTCCTGGCCTCTGCTTCATGAGATCCAACCTGGCGAATTCCCAGCAAGGTGCTAGAGAACTGAATGCCATCTAGGGACGGCTCCAGCGGGCTCTATCGCCTCCCTTGCTGATTCCTGTTCCTCCCAGGGGTTCCCACGCCCACAGGGTGCCCCTGGCCTTTGCAGAGGAGTGAGATTATTATTTAAATAGGTTACGAAGGCACCTAGACTCCCCCTAAGCTGCACGGATGCATGTTCACATGGCTTCCCACAACGCCCTGCAGAGGCGTGGGGCTGCAGTGGAGAGAGATATCCCCAAGCCCTAAAGGTGCAAGGAGTTGTGGGAGCCCTCCCTGGCATGGAGCCGGCCCCAGCATGGAGCTGCCACGGCTGGCTGAGGAAAGGGGCCCCTCTTTGTCACCCCCAGCAGGGAGCAGCCCAGATGAGCCAAGCCCTGGTCTGCTGTCCCATCTTCAGCCCCCCGCCCATCCTGAGCACCCACTGCACTCCAAAGCCCTCATCCCCAGCCCAGAGACTGTGCCCCCTTCTGCACCCCAACTCCCAGCTCTGAGCGCCTCCCCAAACCTGGAGCCCTCCTCCTGCACCCCAAGACCCAGCCCAGAGCCTGTGCCCCCTCCTGCACCCAACCCCCAGCTCTGAACCCCTCCCCAAACCTGGAGCCCTCCTCCTGCACCCCAAAGCCCTCCCTTATCAAGATGCCCTGTACTCTTGTGGAAGCCCAGTCTGAGGAAGTGCCTATGGGAGAACCATGCTCATAGTCTGGGGGTGACGCAGGCTTCGTTGTGCTTGCTCTGTGATTTGCTGCTTTCGGGGAGCTGACAGAACGACCGGGCCCTTGGGCAAGATGGGGGGCGACTCTACGCTCCCAGAAGGGGCAGCGCTGGAGCCTCAGCACTGCCCGGACCACGCCGCCCCCTCCAGCCCTCAGAGCTGCCCTGGAGCGCGCCACACCGGGCTCCAGCAGCCATTTCAAGGCCCGGCACTCCGCCTGCTGCCAGAGTTGCAGCACGAGCAGCCAGAGGCCCCAGGCCCGTTTGAATATCGGGCCCCAGGGCAGTTGGCCCCTTTGCTCCCCCTGTCGACGGGCCGGTTGCCTTTGAGCCGTTGCTTGACATGTGTTTGCATAAAACAGAAAGCGTCACACTTGCCGGACCATAGAAACCGCACACAAGTCGGCTCTATCCACTTAATGTTCCTGGGCCTGCTCGGAGAATTCAACGGGGCTTCCGGGGCAGCTTCCGGAGCACTGCGGGCGTAGAAACAGCTGACAGAGCGCTCGGTGTGGTTCTACACTCTGTTTCCAGCGGGAGTCGGTCCAATAAGAGGGCGTGTCTACACTAGCTTGTTAATTGGAGCTAGTTAGGCAAATCAGGCAACCGGAGTTGCAAATGAAGCCTGGGATTTAAATATCATGGAATGAGGTGTAACAGTGAATCCAAACTAAGGATTTAGTTCGGATTCACTTTAAACTGCCGCTTGTAGCCGCGGGCAGTTCGTTCGAACTAAGGGGGATTTAAAAATGGCAGCCGGACGGGAACATGCAAATAAAGCCCGGGATATTTAAATCCCAGGTTTCATTTGCAACTCCAGTTGCCTGATTTGCCTACTTAGCTCGAAATAACGAGCTCATGTAGACATACCCAGAGAGATTCGCTCACTCGCCTTGTCTCCCTGCTACGTTGTGTCCGTTTCTCGGGTTCTGTCATCATGTCCTGAGAGGCAGAGGTGAGCAAAAGCCCATCTCGGTTCTCTGTAAATAGCTTTCGAACGAAAGAGAGAGGCGGCCACTCATTTCAGGAGACCCCACTATCAAAGATAGTCCTCAGCCATTTGACCTCTCTTGAAACATCTTTCTGTAGCTATTAAAATGCCAAGTGTCATCTGCGCTGTTGGGTTTGGGTTATTTCCTGTCGCATAAGAATGGCCAGAGGTCCAGCCAGTCCAGTGTCCTGCCCTCCAACAGTGGCCAGTGCCAGGTGCCCCTGAGGGAGTGAACAAAACGGAATCATCACGTGATCCCTCCCCTGTCACCCATTCCCAGCTTCTGACAAACAGACGGTAGGGACACCCTCCCTACCCATCCTAGTTAACAGCCATTGATGGACCTAACCTCCATGAATGTAACTAGCTCTTTTTTTAACCCTGTTATAGTCTTGGACTTCACCGCATCCTCTGGCAAGGAGATACACAGGTTGACTACGCGTTGAGTGAAGAAAAACTTCCTTTTATTTCTTTTAGATCGGCTAACTATTAATTTCATTTGGTGACTCCCTAGTTCTTGTGCTATGGGAAGGAATAAATAACTCTTTATTCATTTTCTCCACCCCAGTCATGTGCTCCAGAAGGAGTGAACCGAACAAGTAATGCTCAAGCGATCTTTCTCCTGCCATCCATCTCCACCCTCTGACAAACAGAGGCAAGGGACACCATTCCTTACCCATGCTGGCTAATAGTCATTAATGGACTTAACCTCCATGAATTTATCTAGTTCTCTTTTAAACCCTGTCCTAGACTTCACAACCTCCTTAGGCAAGGAGTTCCACAGGTTGACTGTGCACTGTGTGAAGAAGAACTTCCTTCTATTTGTTTTAAACCTGCTGGCCATTAATTTCATTTGGTGGCCCCTAGTTTTTATATTATGGGAATATTATTATAATATTCCCCCATAGTTGTCTCTTTTCTCAGCTGAAAAGTCCCAGTTTTATTAATCTCTTCGCATAGGACAGCCATTCCATGCCCCTAATCATTTTTGTTGCCCTTTTCTAACCCTTTTCCAATGCCAATGCATCTTTTTCGAGATGAGGCGACCACATCTGCATACAATATTCAACATGTGGGCGTACTACGGATTTGTACTACGGATCAGACTATGGATTTGTAATCCCTTTCCTAGTGATTCCCAGCACTGCGTTTGCTCACCTGCCTCTGACACAACGTGCAGAATGGATGCTGTGACGTAGTGGGGGTACCTTGCTGGTTGCTAGGCTTGGGCTGTGGGTGACCCCTACTGGTTACTGTCTGTACCACGGCCCAGCAGAGTAGCTGATGGGACGAGGAGATAACCCGTTCGACCAGTTACCTCCCAGGGAGAGGAACAAAAGAAGGTGGAATGCCACCCCTGGCTGGGGGGCAGGGCTGGAAGGGACGGTCTTTTAGTTTCGGTCTGGGAAGCAGGGGAGAAGGAGCTAGGGAGGGGGCTGGGATTGTAGGGCCCAGCCACCCCCCATCTCAAGAGGGGCACTGACAAACAAGTTGTTGGTTTTTTTCATGCAGCACAGTCAACCTCTGGAACTCCTTGCCAGAGGAGGTTGTGAAGACCAGGGTTTTAAAAATAACTAGATACATTCATGGAGGTTAGGTCCATCAATGACTAAAAATATGGAATGGAGTCCCTAGCCTCTATTTGTCAGATGCTGGAAATGGATGACAAGAAAGGGAACACTTCGTAACTCCATGTTCTGTTCACTCCTTCTGGGGCATCTGTCATTGGCCAGTGTTGGAAGACAGGACACTGAGCTAGATGGACCTTTGGCCTGATCTGGTGTGGCCGTTCTTATGTTCTTTCATTTGATTCTGTCAAATTTTCACCATATAGGATGAAACATGGATTTGTTTTGAGCAAAACTGTCCAGCTGGCTTAAAGTACAAACGATGGGTTGTGGGGCTGTCCATAAATTGCATAATGCATTAGAGGCTGGGAGGAAGTCCTCAATTTTGCACACAAGTGGTGTGTTAATCTTGAAAATCACTCAGAAATGTGACATGTGCCCTCCCCCACAAAGGGCTTGGGGGTGAAGAATGTTATAATGGCAAAATGTTTCATGATCTTGACAATTTTTTGTAAACAACCCTAGACGTGGTGTATGGAATCTGAAATTTGGTACAGAGATGGTCTCTCTGCTGCACATGTATATTTAAGAGGTTTGAAAAGATTTTGCTCATTCCTTCCAAAAATAAGTTCTTCTTCAGGCAGAAACTCACACTGGGAAATGTATGGAAAAAAACACAGATTTTTTGGCCAAATGTGTAAAGGAACTAGAGTGGTGTATTCAAATAAGGAATCTTGTGCTTTCAGCACAAAATTATGTATTTAAAGTCTGCAGGAGAGAGCACAGGAATTTTCTTCTTTCACTGGTTGCAGCAATTCTGAAAAGAAAATGGCTGTTGTCTCAATCTCCAGACAGATTCATAGTGCCAGTCAAAAATGGCTTTGCTGTAGCACAGACACTAGAACCCACACTGACAACTCAGTGTCTTTGCCTTTAGTGAGTACACACTTGTCTTGCAGACAGCTAGCTAACTCTGTTAGAGCAAAATGGATTCACTACAGCCTCATGGCTACAGATGCACCACAGTCTGAGATGTACGTTTGCAGCCACAACTACCTAAAGAGCAGCCTCTTAGTTACCCAGCCTAAAGTATAAACACACCCACGTTTAAGTGTAGGTCAATAACTTGTTTAGTAAGCTTCACTTACTTGGACTAGCCTTTGGGTTGCCACAGGCTGATGGGTAATGAGAGAGGAAAAGTGGACTGGGATGCTAGGTTTGTTTCAGAGTTTTTCGTGATCTAACAGTGTTTCTCAACCTTTTTTTTTATAAAGTACCCCTTTTTCAAAAAAAAAAAAGTATAAGTAACCCCACTACCTACAGTTTTCAGACCCACATTTTTTCTACCATTGTAACACATTTGTTTAAATAACTTAATTGTAACTGGGCAGGCGATGAAATCTTTGGGTGTAAAAGTACAAAAATAATAAAATGCTGTGAAACTTAAAACAAAAAATCAGTTTTTTCCAATCTTCAGTTTTGTTGATGTACCCTCCAGACTTCTCTCAAGTACCCCAAGGGGGCTTGTACCACTGGTTGAGAAACACTGATCTAACAAAAGAACAAGTACTGGTGTAAATGCTTTTTGCAGCATCAGTTTACAAAGAAAACCTTCTGGACTAATTTGCCCATAAATTCTAGTTGCTCTGGCATTTAGTTCTTTGCTGAAATAGTTACTATGTGAAACTAGGTCCGTGTTTCTCTAGCACCTGGCATTGAGGTTCACTGAAGGTTTTAGAAGTGCCCAGAATCACAATGACACCCTTATGCAATACAGAGATTGCTCACTCACTGTGCTGGTACCGATTGCAGAGTCACTTTAACGACCCACAGCAGTGTAGGGCGGTAATAAACACCCAGCTCAAGTTTCCCCAAAGTGACTTGAGATTTGGTGTCAAGTATCAGAGGCATAGCCGTGTTAGTCAGAATCTGCAAAAGCGATGAGGCGTCCTGTGGCACCTTGTGACTAACAGATTTATTGGAGCATGAGCTTTCATGGGCAAAGACCCACTCCATCAGATGCATGAGGTTTCAGTGTTATACGGGGTGGGGTGATCTTGAGCACTCTCTCTGAAAATCAGGCCCCTTCTAGGTGTCACAAGTCCCTGGTCACTTCTAGACCCCTTGGTCTCGGCTCTTAGTTCTAGATAGCGCTGGATTTTTATGCATAGCTCTCAAAGCACTTTACAGATGAGGAAAATGAGACAAAGGGAAGTGCTGCTT